AAGTATCATCCATTTTTATTAGAACATTAAGGATGATGTTTTCACTCAGTTTTGTTAAGGGGTCCAAATCCGCGGAGGGGGGTCCATATCCGCCAGCGGATCTGGACCGGGGGGTCCAGATCCGCTTGCGGATTTGGACCGGGGGGTCCAAATCTAGGGGGGTCCAAATCCGCTGGGACACCGGCGACTGACGAAATTACAAGTTAACACGAAAATCAAATAACACCTAAACAAACAATTTTAGCTACCGATTTTCAGCGAATTCTTAAAGAACAATTTTCTTTTAAGTTTCAAGACAACTTGAAGATTCAAAATAAATATTACGTACTAAAATGCGAAAGTCACACACCACAAAATTGATAAATGGGCCTGAAATGAAATTCTATCTTGTTCTTGATTATACGTTCCTAGCACGTGACTAAATCTACCCAGGCGGAGATCCAAAATGACGATGGCAGTCTTGGCTTAGTTATATCACTCAAAACTCGTTCCCGTTTGTCTCATTTGATAAAGAGGGAATCGTTAATGTTTTCATTATGACAGTACTGCTTTGATTTTCCAACATTTACAATGATAGACAGTAAATTTCACTTTTCACCCTCATTTACTTCCAACCTTTTCTTTTGAACCAGAAACAAAAATGATATACGTTTAAAACACATGACATCATCCACCCTTGTCAAATGTAATGGCATGATCACTTCAGTTGTAATGCTTTCTTATCTCAACGTTACTTTGTTTCTTTGCTACATTAGCGAACACTGAACTACTGCTCGTACTCTAGATATGAAAATCAACCACAAAATTCCCTAAACCAGATAACATTAAACAGAATCCAAAAAATCATGTGTCAATTCACGAGTTTGCTCACAGAGCACTTTGATTTTACAGGTATTCTGCTGGGCTCACGATCGAATCGTCTTCGCACATGGTAATCACCATTGTTAATATTACAACGATTAACAAACATCGCATAACGAGACCTGAATTCTTTTGCAACTTTATTTCTTTTGCAACATCATTTTGTTGTATACACAACGCTGATTTGCCACACTTTTGTTCTATACATGGCGCTACATTGTCCAATACATCATCACATTCATTTGACACTACTTCGTTTGGTGCCAAACAAACATTCCTGCTCAACAATATGCGAATATAATATACGCACAAAAGCGACAAAACTAATGGAACAAATGGAAAAATAACAGCTGGTAATGTGCTCTGTTTGAGCAAAAACATAACGAATGTAAGCTTAATAATCACGATAGAGGTCACATAAATATAAAAATTACGTTTATCCTCACTCTGATGAAAGTCCAACATGGTATCTTTGTCGTCGTTTCCTAGAGTTTGATAACGAGGCACCTTGTCTTAATCAGCAAATGTTCTTTGGTCACTCTGTCCACATTTTCTGTTCTCTGATAAATTATTTGATTTCTGGTTTGATTCTAGTGAGACCTTCGCTAAATCATTTGATTCTTTTGCTATTTTGAGTTCGCGGAACGACCCGTTTCGAAATATACGCTCATTACACAAACCATCCTTTAGAGTGGGTCTACCGCGAACGATGTGTGAGTCTGTATGCTTGAGCGTAGAAAAGATGACACCATTCGCTAAGATATTCGACAAATCCGCCATGTTCGACGTAGTGGAAAGAAGGTTGCGCCTCCATTACGTGTCTGCGGTATTCGCCATTGCACGTGACTGTGCTTTGTGGAGAAACCCGAGGGTAAACCTATGGTCGGTCGCCCGACTAAAAATAGAATCCTAAGTATGGTTAATGGTAGAACCGAAGTGTTTGTTGAGTAAGGTGTAGAAAGAGATGAATATGTAACGGAAGGTTTCAAAATTGAACGCTCGTCTAGCATGTAACACAAGCACGAATGGATGATTTTTTCTAAAAATAGCATTAACAATAACTTTCTATTAAGCTATTGTCTCTTAGCTCTGCTTGAACAGTTAATGAGCTAGAGTGATATTCCCTGAGGAGGAAAGCCCACGTAATTTATGACTAATCGAAGCTCTCCAGAATACAGTTCGCTGCTAATATTACAGATCTATATAGTTTTGGCTACTGTTAGTAAATGTCGCGGAACAATGGGAATTCTGCACGATGTGTTGGTGTGTTACGTGTGTGTCATCACTTTTGTCCCTGAAATCATATGGAGGGTACATTTGGTCAGCCTTTGTGAATCATGGTGGTTTTTGTTTTTGTTGTTGTTGTTTTTTTTTTAATTCTGGTTGACTTTTGATAATTATAAATGAATAAAGGGGGTAAGTTTCTAAAGAAACTGCGGTGCTGCCGCGCTGGGAGACTATACCGGGATAATTTAGTATTATCAACTGAGTTCATAAGGTTTAAAAAGATGACGTTTTGAGTGTTAGCCCTTTGTCAGAGCAATTAAGCTGACAAACGAATTTCTAGCTTTTAACCTCACCACAATAGCGAATTTATATTATCAACTCAGCTGATGATATGAAACTACTTTGATATAATTATATAATGTGGCCATTAACACCACTTATAACCTTGGGGCACCTGTTAGTGCCCTTATTTGTGACTTTCATTGTCTTTCATAACTGATATATAGTAACTGTTGTTCTGCTGCTTCCTTTTTCAGACTTTCCGACTTTATCCCTGATTCAAGGGTTATTTTCTTGAACCCAGGAAACTCTATACAAGGTAGGAGGACTAACACTGCTCTTTTTTTTCATTTTGAAACTTGCCTTCACTTTGTCAATCTGTATTAACCCTTTAATTGCCATGTGTGATCAAGACAGAATTTCTCCTTACAATATCAACACAATATCAACCAGATAAATGATGAGAGTAAATAAAAATAAAAATTTGGAGATAATTAGTTGATTCAATACTAAATTCTCTGAACTAACCTTATAAGAATTGTATGGTTGGGAGTAAGGAGAATTACAAATTTGATGTGGGAGTTAAAGGGTTTATAATTTATTTGCTGGGAATTACCGTTTAAAATTGCTTGGAATTCTTGAAATTCAACATGTAAAAGGATTGCTTAACCGGTTTGAAAATTTATTTTACCTGTCATGCTTAAAATAAGAAAGAACACTGAGTTTACTGAAAGACATATCATATTTAGAGTTAGTACCTTCTTTTATAATATCTAAAGATAAAAAATTAGAATATAACATGCAATGTTTCATAAATGTAGCTTAAAACAAGCAATACTTCAACTTTAAAAGGCCATTGCACTGATAATACTATAGAGAAAGTTGTCAATTCATACAGTTCGTACATAACTTCCCAAAATAGTATCAACTGGCCTATTAAGAGTCAATGAATAGTCATCATCATCATCATCATCATCATCATCATCAGGTCGAGCTTGTTCGGTATTCCATGACACGCTCCTCCAATGAATAGTACTCTTACACATTTTTGCCAGTGGACACATTCTTTTATGAAGGTGATAATATTACAGAGACTTTTAAGTCTGTTGACTTAGACGTTATTGTTTCACTGTTCAATGAACTGAGAAACCACGTTTTCTACTGGTACATGAGCTTCAATGACCCTGTATTGTATTGGTGACAATTAGAGTTACCTTCGTCTGGTAGAATTAGTTTTGGCTTAAAAAGGTGCATTTAATATCAGTGACTGTGCAATCTGTTTCCTAGGGTTGTACTGGTCTAATTATCAATAAGTAGAGAAACCATAAATTGACGGAGTTTTAAAAATGCTGTTAATGTCCCCAGGTGTGATAATGAAATAGCGATTGGGTAGGAAATCTACAAATCCTTTAAACTGCTCCTCCATCCAGGAATGTGGGTGCTGAGTGGGAGACCTGGTGTTATGTTGGGTAATATACATGTGAGGAATTACATTTAGTTTTGCACTGAAAGGGATGGTTAATACCCCAGTCTTTCTAGATAGTGCCTTCTTGCTGTAGGCTGCTATTTAGTAATTGTTGTAAACACGGTGACCTAAAGTAATATAATTCCCGTATTCGTTGTGTTGGTATATCCTGGTCTAGTCACGGAGTTGGTTCTATTAACTGACCTGGTAACAGACTGATTCCCATATTGATGAAAATTTTCCTAACACAGTGTAGTTTGCTTGTGATTATGTAGTTTTTGTCCTTGTTGGGATGGTGATGGATGATGCTTTTGCAATTATGCTTCAAGTGACCAAGTTGTAGCAGTGATCCTTGCAGGGTGGTAAATGGAGGTTGTGCAGTCTTGCTTTGATGTTTCACTGCAGTTTATATATTTGTGTCTGCTTGTGGATCGTTTTGGAGTTAAAGAGGTTTTAAGGTTTAGGTATAATGGTTACGCTGGCAATGGTTAGATCTTTGTGATGCGGCATGAAGTAGTAAAAACAGGTGCAGCTTTTGTATTAATGCTGGTGGATCTGTGATTACTTTTATTATTAGATGCTTCTTAGGCGAAATAGGGTATTTTATTAGTTATCTCCTAAATTTTAGGATTAGGTTTCTCTTTTTATATTGGTTTTTTATTTTAGCAGTACAGTATATATCATTTAATTATTTTAGTGATTTGTAGGTTCACATCAGCCTTCCTGGCTGCCAATTTGTAACCCGCATCACCAAATAAAATGATGATGATGATGATGATTAAGAATCAAACGTCAACCAGCCAGAACTGACCGGGTTTAAGGCCCTCGAGGGGAAATAAAAAACTTATTTCCCCTTAACCTTTAAATCGCGTTTCATTTCTGCTCTTTATGTCTCTGGTTGTTACTTTGCAAACTAAAAAAAAAATCTTTCTTAATCCAAAAAAACTGTGTTGAGATCTAATACCTCATATTAAACCTCTTATTAAGTCGACAAAATAGTTTTTTCGTTGGTGTTTCGTGCTCCTAAGGATTTAACAAATGATATCACGATTTTAAACGATTTCTGGTCTCAATTGGCTATCGGGTTTTTTTTTTTCCAAATGGTCTTAATTCCCATAAATTAGTGTCTATTCCATGTTTGACAGGTCATTCTGATAAATTCAGCTTCATGGGTACGGCTCCATCGCCATTTGCGTCTACGAAAGAGACAACCAACTATGCAAGGCTATGCCGCCTCCTGGTGGATATTGGATGTCAGGTGCTCCGGTCCACTTTTGACAAAATACATCCACCAGCGACGCTACATACAGTTTTGGGGTGTACCTCAGTGCATTACGCCAAATTGCAGTCACTGTACAAAGGGAAGAAGAAAGTGCTGAATCCCAAGCAATGGGGAAAGTTGTACCCTACTCACAAAGCTGTGTCTTCTAAAGACTTCGACATCACACTCCTAACAGTGCTGCTTAGAAATATCTGTAGTTTGCGCACCCTACTAAGGGATGGGATGAGCTTCCCCCAGCTACAGACATACGCATCGAAGATGACATCGCCAGAGTGAAGTATTACAGGAACACTGTATACGGCCATGCTTCTCAAGCCTCTGTGGATGACAGTAGTTTCAGTGCTGATTGGCAGAAAATACGAGAAGCTTTGGTGAGATTGGGAGGAGCTCATTTTAGAACTGAAATCGACAATCTTGAGCACGACTGCATGGATCCAGATATGGAGGAGCATTATCGTGAACTGATGAAACAATGGAAGAAAGACGACGACAACATCAAAGACAGGCTTGAAGGAATTGAAAGTAAGAAAAACATTATCCACTGCCAATGTGGATGAATCAGAAGGCTACAAAAGTGTATTTTTCCAGTTAACACGGTAGTGTAGGTCAGCTCATGATGTTTTCATCATGGTCGGAACTAGTCTCATATTTGGAAGGTATATTTGCGTTACGTGTGTAAAATGAAGAATTAATCCAAATGTTCAAACTATGTTTTCATTTGCAGTATTTTTGTCTGTTCGTAGGTACTCGTGTACAACTGCTCGAGTGAATTTTTGTGATTTCTAAGCGTCTTATTGCGTTTGATCTATTCGGAATCGACTAGATGTTGATATACGTATCATTGCTTTATCTGCACCTAACGTGAAGCTGTGATATAAATTTGCTTATGAAAATGCGCATACCTTTTAAAATTTTCAGGTTCCCTGGATAACACGAGAGACACAATTGACAAGATAGAGATCGAAGTGAAAGAGGTGAAAGAGAAGCTGAGTAGTCTGACGGTCTCAGCTGAAAAAAGCGCACAAGGTTAGTTGGTAGAGAGAGCTACTCACAGCGAAAGAAAAGAAATTGTTTAGAGCGACACTGTTTTCTTGGGTACATAACGCAGCTCATATGAATGACGACGGTAATCGCTGGATGTCGGCCAACACAGCATACTTTACTAGTCTAAGAGCACACCCCAGTCACTACTGGCACTGGTTTTACATGAAGATTCTATGTAATGTGTGGGATGCCACGGAATCTGAGATTTTGCCCCTGGCTACCTCTCGGATTTGATGGTGTTTTGAAAGTACTCATACTTAAGAATCATCGTAGTCGGGATAGTTCATCGTCTTGTTTTAGTATTACCTTTCTTATAATGAACATAACTTCCTAGTAGCGCTAGATGTGACCCGCATATTTCTGAATGAAACAACTAAATCCTTCTTCCTGGCGTATTGTGGAGTATTCAATCCAACATGGGAAAATAGTTTAATGTGGATCGTCTTGAGTAAAATAGGTTAGAATAAGATGTATGCGGTTATTTTACATTTCCTGAGGAAAAGACTGTCGGCAAAGCCTCCCACTTCATCGCAGGCGGGTCTCTAGATTTATCCAGCTTTGAATCACCCCGGTGTTGGGTAACTCATGATGTTTTTTTCATTTTGGACGGAATGTTACGGGAAAATTTACTGATTTTCCCGTGTGTGTTATTCGGAGCATATTTATTCGTAAACTTTTACATTTAACCATTTCAAGTCCTTTCATTTTAAAAAATCAAAAAAATGCATAAAAACCACATTAGCTTTTGAATAGATTTTTGTTGTTACTCGCTTTCATCACATGCACCTGCTTGTCGGCACTTTTGTCATTTATTACATGGTTTTTAAAGTAAATATAAGTGTTGATGGTCTATCTGGAAACATTGGTTCTCATGGTAGATAGCAGCTGAGTTTAAACGCGTAAATTTAATTTCTTTTCATGCGATGGTTTCCAAACCAACCTTGCGTAAATAAGTAGAAGCTTTTGATTGCTTTTCCGTTTTTATTTCCTAAGCTGCGCTGCTGCAATTAAGATAGGTATTGTTTTCTATATCAGAGATGTAAATTCGCACCTAAGTTTCCTACGTTAATGGCCGAGGGTTTATTGCATCCGTCTTTTTAATTTTGAGATTCTTTTCGTCATGGAAACAGATGGAATATTTAAGTAGTTTTCATTTAACTTCAAAGAGACTTTTTTCGCTCCTTTGTGTCCTTAATCAAATATTGCGATTTGTGTAACAATAGCACTTCACACCAGTTACTTCTTAAGCAAGTACCTTGTACGGCTTTGATGATTACAAACTAGAGTATGCTAGAGGTCATGTCGCTTGTTGGCCTGACCTAGAATAAAAGTACTGTGGAACCAAAGATTGTCTTATCCTTGACGTCCGTATAAGCTTGCTCGAAGTAGATCTCCGTGTACCAGGAAATCGTGACGAGTTTCCGTTCTCGCTGCCGAGTCGTCTCTTCAGAGTTATTTCCCCCAGTTGTTATTGTGCCGTCCGCGAAGATTCAGTTTTCCAGCTAGCGAGCGAAAACCTATCGTCACAGAACCAGTCACATACTTGGAACGTTATTCTAGCGTTATGTGTGAAAAATAAAGAATTAACCCAAATGTTCACACTGTTTTCATCGGCAGTTTTTTTTTCTGTTCGTGGGTGCTCGTGTATAACTGCTGGAGTGCATTTTTGTAATTTCTAAGCGTCTCATTGGGTTTGATCTATTCGGAATCGACTAGATATTGATATACGTTTCATTGTTTTGTCTGCGCCTAAACATAAATCTGTGGTTTAAACGTGCTTATGAAATTGCGCCTATCTTTCTTACATTTCCAGATTCGCGAGAAAAAGATGAGGCACGACCTCAGAGACACAACTGAGAAGATAGAGCTTAAAATGAAGGAGATTTTAGAGACGCTTAGAAGCCTGACGACCACAGTGGAAAAAAAGCACAGATGAAGGTTGGTTGCTAGAAAGAGCTACTCACACATAAACTGAACTATCAACAGGGATTCTGTTAACACATCTTCTGAGCATGACCACATTATTCGCGTGATGTCAGACAATTTAACATTTTTTTAGGTAATGTATTGTTGTAAGAGCACACCTTGGCTTTTAACCTGCTCTGGCTATAAATGAAGATACTTGGTAATGTGTGGGATGAATGGGATGGTATGGATGTGAGACTACCTCACGGTGTTGGATAGTTTTCTGACAGCACTCATACATATTTAGCCGAGAAGGTTATAGCCTTATACTAATTTTACTTTTGTTGAAGACCTAAGGAGAAATGAGAGGGCGGAAAGGCGTTCTTTGGTTTTATTAATTAGTTCTTACAATGTCGCTTTTACTGACAAAAATCTTTCTCAGACTATCGGCTCCAATGATATCAATATTTATATCTTAGGTTTCACTATTAGAAACCGCTGAAGCTGGGCCAAAAGGTTTTTTAGAATGTTGTATAGAATAAAAAGAAAACACAAAGGAAGGGAAAAGGATCTATTTAGTTAACTTTTAATATATAAAGTGACTCTCACTCGGACTAAAAATTTCCAATGTTATTCCACGAAAGGGTCTCTTGAGAAAATGAGAAGCGAAATGGCAAAGATGGACAATGAACTTAAAGAAGTGAAGGAAAAGCTGTGTACTTTGGCAACCCCTGTGGGAGAAAGTAAGAATGAAGGTCAGTTGAATTATACAATAAAAAAGTTATCCTGCTTAACCGCAAATTTAGCCGTAGTTAACAATGTACTGTATGTAAGAGAGAGATCATCCTATCTTAGAGAGATTCAGTTTTTCAATTTAAACAATCTCTGGAATAGTCTCTGTGGTGTGCTTTCATTCCCTTCAATTATTTAAACTTTCACCCGTAATTAGCCCGGAAACATTACATTTTTATTAGAAGGGAGGACGCTATAAAAATAAAGTACAGTTTTGACGAAAATATTGGCATTAAGTTCGGCTCCATGTTCGAAATTAACTGAGCAGGTTCGACGGCATTTATAAGCTAAATGGCCTTTGGTCATTAAATTAACATGAATCATACATTGATACCTTTTCGTCATTGTCCAAGTAATTTCTTTGGCAATGGTGTCGAACTCGTTCACTTATTTAAATTCAGTGCCGAATACCTAGCAGCATTAAATGTGATCCGCATATTTCTGAATAAAGTAACTAAACCCTTCCTTCGCTCATATTGTGAAGTATTCAATTCTACATGGGAAAATAGTTGAATGAGGATCATCTCTAGTAAAATAGGTTAGAATAAGATGTATGTGGTTATTTTACATTTCCTGAGGACGAAAAGACTGTTGGCAAAACTTTCCACTTCATCGCAGGCGAGCCTCCAGTTTTCTGCAACATTTGTGATGAAACCGCGTGACAAAGAAGGCAGAAAGGCGTTGTTTGGTTTTCATTTATTAGTTCGTAGTCTCGCTATATCCCGAAAAAGCCTTGCTCAGACTATGGCTCCAATAGTATGAATATCTATCTCCCGTGTAATTTATTTTACAACAGAAATTCGCTGTTAGACACCGGTAAAGCCGAACAAACAGAGGAGGTTCAACTGAATTCATAATCTAAATGGCTTTTAATCAGTAAGCATGAATCATACACTAAAACCTTTTTGCGTAGTGCTAGTAATTTCTTTGGCAACGGTATCGTACTCATTCGCATATTTAAATTCAGTGCCGAATACCAGAGAGGTATCATAATTTTCAACGCTGCATTCATTAGATTTCTTACTTATTTTGCTACTACTAGATATTTTTGATCCAACTGAACTTATCAATGGAATTCGCCAGCTGTACAAGACTCGTGAGGGATGGCTCTCACCATTTCCATGGTGTGAAGAGTTTCAGTTTTTTCTTGGAAATATTTTTACAAGGCTCAAAGTGGTCAGAAGAAAGAAAACGAGAGGACAAATCACTGACGTATTTGTTGACATGTCGTCAATACTAGACCCGTATGAAGAGTGTTCAGCGCCGAGAACGGTGTTGATTGAAGGAGAACCTGGTATGGGAAAAACCACCTATTGTAAAAAGTACGCCTACGACTGGGCCACCAAAAAGCAAGCACCTCAGGGCTGCGGCTCAACAGCATTAAAATTGGTATTGTTGCTGAAATGTCGAGATATCCACTCTGACGTTTGGGAAGCCATTGATGATCAGCTGCTGCCCCTAGGCATCGATGAAAAAGTCAAACAACAATTTTTTCAGTTTATTCGTGAAAATCAGTCCAGCATTTTATTGATATTGGATGGATTGGATGAGTTACCATCCGGGAAATTGTCGATGTTTTCCAAATTAATTGAAGGAAGAGAACTCCCTAAATGCCACATAGTTGCAACAGCAAGACAAGAAGCTGGAAAAGAGGTGAGAAAATGTTGTGACGCGCTGCTTCAGATCGAAGGATTCACTGAAAAGCATGTGATAGAATTTGTCACCAAGTACTTTAAAGAAAGGACGGATTTAGCCACCAAGCTCTCGCAACGGATGTCGCGAGATAAAAACCTGACAGAAATAGCGGCCAATCCTCTAAACACAGCACTTCTTTGCCTTTTATGCGAAGAGTTTGAGGGCACACTCCCCGAAAGCAGAGCTCAACTGTACTTGGATATGGTTGAATGTGTTTTGAGAAGATATAGAAAAAAGAAGGGACTATTAGAAAAGATCGAAGACCTGACAAACCATTACAAACCGCAATTGAATCACCTTGGAAAGGTAGCGTTGAATGGTTTACTCGACGATAAGCTGGATTTAAATGAAAGTGAATTGAGAAACCATGCAAAAGACTTGACTGAATTTGGGTTTCTGTCAGTGCAGCGTGGTGGCAGCAAACTGAGACAAACACTGCATTATGCCTTCTTACATAAAAGTTTTCAAGAATTCTTTGCAGCATTCTTCATTTGTTCTCAGATTCAAAGCAAGGAAAGGAAACCTGAAGAACTAGTTTCCGATCCAAGGTATTTCGTTGAACTTAAACAAATACTTTTGTTTTCGTGTGGAATTTTGGCCATGAAATGCGATGAAAAGGTTGTGGCTCTTGTAAAGAGTTTAACAAATGGAGTCAACAAAAATGAAGGCCGTGGTGCAAAAATTGTATTGGAGGCCATCAACGAATGCAAAAGAGAAAAAAGTGATTTTCACTCGCATTTATCGCAGTCGTTTGGAACTGGTTTGAATCTGACCAATTTGAATTTGTCTGGGAATGGTATTAGTGATGCGGGTGCTACATGTATTGCTGAGGCAATGAAAGTGAACAAGACGCTAACCAATTTGAATTTGTCTGGGAATGATGCGGGTGCTATATGTATTGCTGAGGCTTTGAAAGTGGACAAGACGCTAACCAATTTGTATTTGTCTGGGAATGGTATTAGTGCTGCGGGTGCTACATGTATTGCTGAGGCAATGAAAGTGAACAAGACGCTAACCAATTTGAATTTGTCTGGGAATGGTATTAGTGATGCGGGTGCTACATGTATTGCTGAGGCAATGAAAGTGAACAAGACGCTAACCAATTTGAATTTGTCTGGGAATGGTATTAGTGCTGCGGGTGCTACATGTATTGCTGAGGCAATGAAAGTGAACAAGACGCTAACCAATTTGTATTTGTCTGGGAATGGTATTAGTGATGCGGGTGCTACATGTATTGCTGAGGCAATGAAAGTGAACAAGACGCTAACCAATTTGAATTTGCGATACAATGGTATTAGTGCTGCGGGTGCTACATGTATTGCTGAGGCAATGAAAGTGAACAAGACGCTAACCAATTTGAATTTGCGATACAATGGTATTAGTGATGCGGGTGCTACATGTATTGCTGAGGCAATGAAAGTGAACAAGACGCTAACCAATTTGAATTTGTCTTGGAATGGTATTAGTGATGCGGGTGCTACATGTATTGCTGAGGCAATCAAAGTGAACAAGACGCTAACCAAGTTTGATTTGTGTTAGAATGGAATGTCTTGCCTAGGCAATTAAAGCAGGGTTTAAACAACTTTCAAGTAGAAGGGCACTGCCTTTAAAGTAGGCAGGTACCTTGGAAAATTGAGGGCCGAAGGCCCGAACTTCTAGGGGTGTCCGGGGGCATGCTCCCCCGGGAAATTTTTAAAAGAAAAGTCTCCCAGAAACGCATTTTCCTGCAATCTGGAGAAGAAATCTTCTTGGAATTATGCATACTTAATCTATTATAATAAAAAAAAAATGGTCCTCTGGGAGAATTTGTTTATTTCACTGTTGTTTTCGGAGCCTCTTTTTATCCTACAGTTACAAGTTAAAGGCCCATTTCCAACCTTGATGCAACTCGCGCCGCGATCCAATTTCCTGTAACACGAAATTCCCAGATCACTGAAACCCTTCTAAAATCGTCCTTCTCAAGAGCCATCCTGAACATATAGTCAACAGTTTTACGGTAAATACATTCGCCGTTCGTTATTTCACTGTTTCCTTACAGTATTTTGAATTTTGTCTTGAAGAATCCTAAGAAAAAGTTTTTTAAGTGTTACGCCTGGAGCTCTTCGTACTCTCTGAAGAGTCGGCGAAAAGGACAATATTCAAATTTTTTCACTTTCTAGAAGCGCTTGAGGATTCTAAATGAAGACAAAATACTTCCGATAGAAACTGGTTTTTTTCAAAGAGAAATATGGAAAAATATCAGACTGCCGGACGTTTAGTTATTTGAAGACCGTGTCCGGTAGTGTCTGGTGAAAATTTTCTTAGTGTCACGCTTGGATCTCTTCGTACTCTGTGTACAAGGTCAGCGAAACGGAGAAAGTTGGCATTTTTTCACTTTTTAGAAGCGCTTGAGGATTGTAAATGAAGGTAGAATATTTTCTAGTGAAAAATTAGTATATTTCAAAGAGAAATATGGAGTTGTTTAAGGACCGTGTCCAGCCGTGTCATTGAAATTTTAAGCGCTTGGATGGCTTCGTACTCTATACAGGGTTAGCGAGAAACATCAAGTTCGAAATTTTAGGCTGCCTGGAGGCGCTTGAGGATTGTACATAAAGGTAGAACATTTTCATATAAATATTTTTTGGATTTCGAAGAGAAATATAGAAAAATATCGCACTGCCGGACGTTTAATTATTTTAAGTGTAGTCACTTCATTGCAGGAACTCGAACGTCAGCGACACTGACAGTTTGCGTTACAATTCTTATTTGCTGCTTTGCATGGACAACAACCCCGACCACTCTTTTGAGCGCAAGTTCCTCTCCACGGGCAGGAAACTTCAACTGACCCTTGGTCATATTTAACAAGGATGGCAAACTTCGATTAAAAAAATTGATGAATGAATGAAAACGTGGTGGATCAACATTTTCACCTTCTTCGAAATGCTCGCAAGGATTTTCGCGTTTCTCTTTAGCAACAACCGATCCATAAGCGTTTACTGCCTCGGAATCTACTAAATCAATAGATTCATCCAATTCCATACCGGATTAAAACGTATAGAACTGTTTTAAACAGAATTATTTTGATAAGCTCTTCAAATTCATCGGAGAAAAGGCAGAAGGTATTTTGAGACCTGACAAGGTAAAAATAACTGACCAATCAGAGGCGCTATTTAAACAAAAGCGGTGGTTCAAAACGAAAACAAACGACCGCGTTGGCTCAAGGTTGGAAATGGGCCTTTAACTTCAGCTTATAAAGTGATAAAGTGTGAAACTGACACTTTTTGTAGTTTATGAAAACTCAAAGTCAGAGCCACAATCAGAATCTTCGGCATCCAAATCTGGCAGCTCCAAGGCTTTGGAGATTTCCTCTACCTCTTCCTCAACAGAATAGAGTAACTGGGCGTCATCATCAGTTGCCTGTACACCAACATCATGTACAATTACCACTGGAACATCCTCATTTGCAGATCCTGGACCTGGTGGTGGTGCTGTGTTGAAAACCTTTGGAGGGCGCTTGCGACGAGGTTTAGCTGCTAACCAGGACGAAACAGCCGAATTAAGAACAAGTCTCGGTAAGAATCAAACATCTTGGGGAATGAAAATTTTCAACCTCCCTTCAAATTTTGCATGCAGTTAGGCGCTCAGGGGGGATGCACTTTATAAAGGTTGCAGCACTCTTGTTGTCATGGTAACAACGGCTGCTTGTTCTAGGCCTAGGGCCTCGTTTTCACACAAAAACGTCGCAAAAAAAGAGTGAAATTTTTATTTCTCTATCTCAAGCTAAATAAAACATTACAGATTTGCACTTCTATCATACATAGTAACATTATTCGTTTCTACATTGATTCATTCAATTTTCCCTGGGAGTGAATGTGAACACAGCAATAGATTATTCATCTTGGTACAGTTTCGGTCATTTTTGTTGTCGGGTAAAATAGGGAAAACGTTTATCTGAATTTCTCCAAAGGTGCACCAATTCTGCAACTGAAACTACCCACCTAGCTGGTTATAATATTCTAGTTATTAAATATGTAAAAATCTCTGCGGACCTGCCTCTACTTTTTATGGGGGAAATTCGCAAACGAAGCTCAAAATCAGATATTGCATAATTTGGCGATGTTTCTAATGTTCTCAACAATAAATGTTTCAGAAAAATGAAACATTCAAGGCTTTAAAAGAATGTTATCTTATGAGCAATATCCCGAAGAGAAATCTCACCTCTAGTAGTCATCTTTAAAAAAAATTGATCAACCTTCATGGAGGACTACTCGACGTAACAACAAACATATACCTCAAATCGTGTGCATATCATCCAGATTCCGAATGCTGCACCTTCTTTTATGGGAATTTGAGCGATCTGAAGTCCTCTGAAGATACACTGTTATACTTGTATGTCATTTCAGACATGTTGAAGTCGGCTGATCTACACGAAACTATCCTCACACCGGTCATTTGTCATTAACATGTACGTTGTCACGATGGCGTGAATCCGTATTTCCCCATGAAGTTTCCATCGGTCGCCCCTTAGAAGACGAGAAATGGACATTTTTCGAAATATCAGCATATTTCCGCGCATTCTAGGTGAAAACAACCAAAAAGAAGAAGAAAACCTCGATTGAACGCTCGTAAAGACTGAGAGGGCAGACATCGCAACTTGTCAGCGGCAGTTCTACATGTAAAACCCAGTCGCCACAATAGCAATTTGTACGACTCGCACGAAAATCATCACCAAGTGGAGATTTTGAACTACTCAGTATCCCTGCAGTACAGCAAACGGAACAGGAATTTCATCACAATCAATTTCCAAAAATTTAGCTTTTTTCGGGGAGTCTTTCACTTGCTCGAACGTTATATTGGCTTTGAGCCTTGAGATTTATTTCCCTTGACAATAAAATGCTATAGAGAGTACTTACAAAATTACAAAGGAACTATTTTTAGTGTCGGTTGGACCGTGAAATACAGATTTGAAATAATTAATACTGTCACTGATCAACCAAAGGGCACAATATTCTCAGTTATTAGCTTGATAATCTCTACAGACCAACGTTATTGGACCGAACGATCTCCTGTTTCTTCCTGGTGAGCCGGCCACCTCAGGGGAAAATTAAAGAGACCTTTGACTCTTCTTTTTCCTGAAGGACATGAAGCAATCCAGATTACATATTAACCATGGGAAAATTCATTCAAGTGACAAGTTGCGACTTACGTGTGGATAATAAGTTGTTTGAAAGGTAGAATTATGACATTATGATTCCATTAAATCTTTTATTTCGAACTTTCAATATGGAAGGAAATATCGATTGACTCGATTGCACTGCGGCGGTGATAAGTCTCTCCTCATCATATCTTATGCCAATTTTCTAACAGTTTTCCGACAGTTTTTAGATGATTCGAAATATCTTAGTTCCTGTCACAAGGAAGTGATAACTGCCCGAATCTACTCTTTGAAAGGAGTTGCCTATGTCGTTCAAATTGCGATTGCAACTGGGTTTTTACATGTGGTACTGCCGCTGACAGTTACGATTTATACCCTCAGATTCTCAGTGTTTACTAGCGTTCATTTGAAGTTTTCCTCTATTTTTTCTTTTCTTTTTTTTTTTGGGTTGTTTTGTTTTTACTTCAGAAAGCGGAAATCTACTAAAACATATGAAAAATATCTATTTCTCGTCTTCTTTGGAGCGACCGATAGAAACTTCACGGAGAAATACAGCATCGTGATAACGTACATGTTTATGACAAATGACCGGTGTGAGGATAGTTTCGTGTAGATTCGCCGACTTCAACATGTTTTAAACGACATACAAGTAGAACAGTGCACCCTTAGAGGACTTCGGATTGCTCAAATTCCCATGAAAGAGGGTGCAGCATTCTGGACTAGTGCAGCACTATCTGCATGATATGAACACGATTTGAGGTATATGTTTGTAGTTATGTCGAGTTGTCCGCCATGAAGCTTGATCAATTTTTTTTTTGATGACAAGATTTTTTTTTTAGGCAAGATTTCAATACGACTCCAACCAATTTGAATTTGTATGACAATCATATTAGTGATGCCGGTGCTACATCTATTGCTAAAGCAATCAGAGTCAACAAGACGCTAACCAATTTAAGTTTGTCTCACAATCGTATTAGTGATGCCGGTGCTACATCTATTGCTGAGGCAATCAAAGTCAACAAGACGCTAACTAATTTGAATTTGTCTCAGAATCGCATTAATGCTGCCGGTGCTACATCGATCGTTAAGACAATCAAAGTCAACAAGACGCTAACCAGTTTGAATTTGTCTGTCAATCTTCTTAGTGATGCCGGTGCTACATCTATTGCTGAGGCAATCAAGGTCAACAAGACGTTAACTAATTTGAATTTGTTTAACAGTGATATTAGTGATACCGGTGCTACATCTATTGTTGAGGCAATCAAGGTCAACAAGACGCTAACTAGTTTGAATTTGTCTCGTAATCGTATAAGTGATACCGGTGCTACATCTATTGCTGAGGCCATCAAAGTCAACAAGGCACTAACCAATTTGGAGCTTGTCCGGCAATGATATTACCGGTGCTGCATTTGTTGCTGGGCCAAACTAAGTTAGCAGGAAGCTAACCAATTGGCATTTGTCTTAGAATAGTATTAGTGATGCCGATACTCCTTTTTATGCCGAGGCAATCAAAGTCAGCAAGACTCTGACCAATTAAGATTTGTCTAACAATGGTAACAAATGTGAACAAAGCTGTGAGTGAGTTGAACTGACTTTTCCTTTTGTACTTTTCCTTTTAAGTAACGTTTTTTAAATTTTGCAGATGCAGGAAGGAGCTTTTTAAATTGTCTTTAGTTGCTCTTTGATTAGATTACATTCAAGTTATAATAGCTACCTTTGTGATGTTTTTTTAGTTTAAGGTGATGCTTATGCTTCTGAGGTATTTACATTAGACGAAAAGAAGTGTAAAACGCCATTTTTGTTAGAGTTTTGTCATGAAAGGAATATCATAAGCATGTATCATCCACGAGCAGCAATATTTTTTCTATTCTTTGTAAGCCTCGAGCGCCTCTCTTTCAATATAAACCAAAGCAAAAAAAAGTTTATTGGCATTGTTTTTTATTTCTGTTTCGATCTGCACAGCCATTAAATGAAATTTGACCACTGGGAGGTTCCTAAAGGGGAGGTGTGCGGGGAAAGGGGATGGGTGGGGACACAACAGGGGCGAGGTAAACAAAGTGTGCTGTGGATAACTCTTAAAGGGTAATGTATTGTACAGCGGATGCTTCCACACAGGTCTGGGGCCTAATTACGAGTTAGTAGATGGCAGGCGAGGACGCATAGCCCCAGAAACGAAGGGATGATTGTCGGTTTCCTATGCAGGAAGATCTGGATTTGTACCAATTATACATTCTTTGCTAAAGAGACTGGCAGTTAGAGCTTAGTCAACAGATTGTAACCAAATCGTTTGAACAAATTTTATAAAGGAACTCTCTGAAAGATAGAGCTGATAAAGTCTTTTCACTTTCATCAGAAATAAAGACAACGGATTTGAAACGTAAACCGACATCCTCGAAGTCATATAAAAATACTTTAAAAAGATTAATAGATTCTAAAATAGAACAGGACCCAGTTGTTCAAAGGGCGGATAACGCTATCCAATGAATACATCGCTATCCAGCGGATGTGTTAACAAAGAATACTGCACCATCCATCGGATGGAGATTTATGTAGTGGTTATCGTTATCGAACAATGAGGACCAGGTGGACGACTGTTAGTTAGTGGAGTGATCTAAAAAACGGGTAGTATTCACAGTTAACGATTTGAAGCACAACTCAGTAAGTGTTTTTTTCCGTTGGGTTTTAATTTCTAACAGCAAAAACATGTAAAGGAAACGAAACATCGCAAAATCTTAATGTTTCCTCAACAAAGCCATAATAGTGGGATTGGGAAGGACAGGAAATTGACTGCTGCTAAAGCAACGCTGCAATGCTCCCTCACTTTCCGTACAACCCCTCCCGTCCCCTCTCACCCCTCATCCATTCCTTATCCTATCCGAAGCGACTCCATTGACATGCGATATTAAGGAAACAGGATGGAAGACGTTTGCTCAGATGCTAAGGATTTGGTCGAGATAATGCTAAAATACCTGTGGTGAAAGACGAAAGAAACCAGTTATATAGGTTAATAAGGAAATAGTGTATTAAATTAGGATATGTAGGAGAGAGGTTTTTTAATAAATTCGGCGAATGGATAACAAACTTAGGTGTCAGAGTGAATGTCAACCAATCTTGCTCCCACAGTCATGAAAAGATTTTTAGAGACCAAACATTTTATTTACCACCGGGGATGGGAGATTCCTCTTCCTTTTTTTCTTTGATGGGGGGTGGGGGTGGGGGTGTCACGTGGTTTTAAGAAAGGGAGGGTGATCAGTCGTCTCTAACAGAGTGTAAGGGAGTACTATAGAAGATTGACCACCAATTCACTGTCAATGAGGGGAATCATAAATTTTATCATGGCGTAACCACCCCCCCCATAGGCGATAAATAATGAGCGACCGCTAACAACATGAAGCGAGTCTTTCTGAGCGTTTGACTCGAGATTATATTCAGATTTTATTACTATTGAGTTTGCACCGATAAATTGCAAGTCATTGGAATACGGTCAATAGTTCTTCAGTATAGCTTTATAAGGTATTTATCTGGTAAATTTTATGCTTTTCCCTTGTAGCTTCAGCTGAATACATTTGAATACAACCATCTCGTAATTGAAAATTAGGTGCAGAGTTTCTTTGTTTAATCCCCGCAAGATTATCCGACTCTCTCTTTATGTGTTAATTGCGTAAAATATTCTGATCAGGTCCATCTATGGCAGTCTCTCTGGCCCAGTCTTTGGACGGGTCGACGATGGAGACGTCAAAGGAACAGACTCAAAGGCTTGGTTTACAGTTTAGCTCTACTGATCAGATTCCAACAATTAGTCATGAGAAGGAGGAAAGTTTTGATTAGGATTAAGTCGCAACTACGAGCGTGGAACGTTAGAGTTTCAAAGGGGTAGTGGGTGGGAGAGGCGGATTCCTGCCTCTAAAAACTTTGAAAATATAAGAAGACGAACGCATCATTCGTAGTTTTGGCATAAAAACGCTATCTGACGCTGATACGCCCAAATATACCCAAAAAAAAAAAAACCACGAAGGATTATGTTACTACTATAGAAGGGAAAACATTATCTTTCTTTGCCAGAGGAAAGGTGCAAAATAAAGGGATCACCAGGCGAAAACGGAAAGTCTTTAACTGCAATGTGAGGTGCGGAAAATCTGCCGTGCGTGTCTTGTTTCAATCTTAAGATGCGTGACCTGTAGCGAGAGGTGATATGAAAGCAATCACGCAATGTTGTTTGGAAGCAACTTTAACGGCAACTCGTCTGCAGCTTAAAGAGAAAAAAAGTTACTTATTGTTTAGGTGAATCTTGAAAGAGTCCTGCAATAAATTTTTTTGAAACGATGCTTTTGAGTTTGTGCTGCCCTACTGAACTGTTCGCTTGAGAGAAGGCTAAAGAGCTAGAGAACTTGCTCCTGGTAGGGGAGGATTGTTTATACTGTTTACTACATTCAGTACATGTGCTTGACCTTGTTAATTACCGAATCGCTTTTAGTCGCTTATCTTGTTCTCTAGCGCGTAAACCCCGCAAATCCGCTTAGTTATTATTTTGTTTCATTGTTTTAAATAGTTTCATTGTAATTTGTTTTTAGCCCGCTTTTGCATTTGCTTTTCTGTGGTTAGGAATCAGGGACATTCGCTCTTTTGTTTACTGCCATTTCTCATTTTGTTTTCATCTATTGTTATTGTAATTGGACACGCGCCTTTGTTCAAAAACGTGCTCCCTTCATTCGTTTTTGTTTGCACGATATTCGCACAGTTCGTCATAATTTCAATCAGTTTATTGCAAAACAACCTCTGTTCCTTTTACTACTCTTGTTGTTGGGCTATATTTTACTTAGTTTTGTTCTCGTTTCGTTCGTTTGTGTCGCTCCAGTTATAGTTTCTATTTCATATTTTGCCATCTAAGTTAGAACAATTAGTTCACCAATAAGTGCTTTTCTGTTCCATTTGATTTTCTAAGATTCGCTCTAACCTTGCTTACTTGTATGTAGAATTCTCTTGTTGTTCAGTTGTAGTCGTCATACACGGTTTTACCGCAGCATTTTTCATCGTTTTTAGTCGTTCATTTTACAATTTTTATTCGGAGATTGCTGATCCTTTTATTTTCATTCATTATTAAAGTCGGCTTTTCTTGTCAGTAAAGGGCTGTTGTGTTTAAACGATAAACAGAATAATACATGGTTGCTTTCAGATATGGAATTTCTCATCTCACTCGTTCGCGGCACTATCTACTCGCGCCCTTAGTATAAGAGAGATGGTAAGTTTTAAGCTCGGTAAAGAAATGGAGAAAGATGTTTTCGTCTTGTCACAAACGTGGAACAAAGAGAAAATCTTTCTCTATTTCTTTACCGCGCTCAAAACTTTACCATCTCTCTTAATCTATTTACAAACATGACGTTATTGACATCGCTGATCCCAGCCGTGTGCAGGACGCGTGTCATATGAACTTCGCAATAGACTTTGCTCACTGTAGAGTCTCTGTGGCTCAGAGGTAGAGCATCGGAGCGCGGATTCCGTAGGTCTGAAATTCGATTCCGTGTGGGGACTCAGATTTTTCTCTTTGTCCCACGGTCGTGAAAAGACGAAAAACTTCTTTCTCTGTTGACAGGATACCTCGCTAAATAAGAAGTTAAACAATTATTGCTTTAATAAACAGTGGGTGGATACAAACTTATTAGAGACTCAAAAATATAAAAATCGGGAGTAGAGTTGCTTAGCTTTTCATTTTCCAGGAAAAACAGTCTAGACTGCAAAATTTTTAGTGAAAAGCAAGCCAACTGTCATTAACGCCTTGAACAACTGGAAGTCAAGATACTTTTTTATCGTCACACAACAAATTAACAAACGTAAATATCATTCTTCTTGATGCCTCTCCCGGTGTCACCGATTTCTTCTCCCGATGCCTCCGTTGGTTAATATAGCGGTAAAAAATATTGCTACAGTCAAAGCGTTTGGAAAATTCCTTAACTTTTTTAATTAGCGAAGTATAACTTGGTGACATTTTGGTTTTACAACACGATTCTTTTCTGCAACTGCAAATGATTTGTCTCCATATAAATAGTTAAAACCTGTTTCTCCGCTGACCACTCTCATTTTGGACTATTTTTCTTTCCCGGCTCGTCGCCCGTGATAGATGAGTGAATGAGTGAACTTTATTTAAAACAGGATGGCCACAGCTACGAGGCTGTTGTCCAGAGGGGCCCTGTATCCGCCTAAAATCATTACGATATTATAATCAATTACGATAAACACTAGTAGTTTAAAAACTTATGGTCTAGGAAATACTGAAAAAAAAAAACAAAAAAAAAACTGCAATATCACATGTAGTAACTCCCACTCCCAACCGCATTGTCTGGAAACAAAGCTCCAAAAGCCGTTAGAAATTTCCTGTAGATCGATTTAAAAGTGCG